CACTCTAACTACACTAGCCTTCTTTCAGTCCTTAAAAAAAAGAAGAAAAAGAAAAGCTTATTCCCACCTTTGGACTTCTGCACTAACTTGTTTCCTCTACCTGGAAATACTCTTCCCCCAAGTCTTTGCATGGCTGATTCCTTATGAATGAACTCAAACATCACTATGTCCTTAGAGAGGCCTTCCTTTATCACTGTATCTAAAGAGTCTCACTATCTGCACCCCTTCATTCTCTATCCCACTACCTTAGCAAAATTTCTTCTTCATTGCACTTATCACTGCCTGTAATTATCTTTTTTTAAAAAAAAAAAAGCAGTCTATTGCCTATGTCTTCTCCACTGGAATGTAGGCACCACGCAGGTCAGATTCTTGTCTGTCTTATTCACCACCATATTCCTAGCACTTAGGCACCTGGCCCAGAGTAGGCACTAAATACACTAGTGAACATCCACAGGAAACTCACTCCTAACATCAGTTCTAAACAGGGCAACTGTGTTCCATGATGTAAGCTGTGCACAGCATGACTTACGTGGACTATTTACAAAGATTATGATTTGATGGCATCCCTTAGAGTTCTGCAAAACAACAGACCTGGGTCTATAGAACAGACTGCTACAATACTTCTATTACTAAAAAGTATAACTGAGTTTTAGATACGCTTTCATGACGATGTGCTACTGAAGTAGGAAGAATAAATCAAGTTTCTCATCAACCTTAGCACTACTGACAATTTTTGATCAGACAACTGTTTGTTGTGGGGACTGTCTATTCATTGTAAGATGTTCAGCTGCACCTCTGGTCTCTACCCACTAGATGCAGTACATCCTCCTTTCCCCCAGTTGTGACAACCAAAAATGTCTCCAGACACTGCCAAATGTCCCCTGGGAGCCAGAACTGTCATTTGAAAACCACAGGAATATGTTGGGGGAAAAAAAATTAATAGAAGATCCCAATCTCAGTTCCCTCATTTACTAACAGTATAGCTCTGGGTCATTTATGCATTCTCTGTTTTCTCATCCATAAGACACAGGTGGCTCAACATACAGAACAGTCATTTCAACTATACACACTATTTCACAACAATCTGAGAAAACCTCTGGATATTTAAATTGCTAAATTTGATTTTGGCTTTGTAACCTAGAGCAGGGCAACAGGTAGGAGCAAAAAAGCAAACATCAAATCTAACTAAAAACTAAAAAAAATTTAACATAAATGGTCATATTATTCTTATAATATCCATAAAAAATAAAAAATCAAGTCGATTCCGACTCATAGTGACCCCACAGAACAGAGTAGAACTACCCCATAGGGTTTCCAAGGCTGTAAATCTTTACGAAGCAGACTGCCACATCTTTCTCCCATGGAGTGGTTGGTGGGTTCCAACCGTTGCCCTTTTGGCTAGAAGCTGAGTGCTTAACCACTGCACCACCATGGCTCCTAAAATACACATATAGAAGGCATAATGTACAAAGTATTATTCTTGCTCTTTTTCAGATAAATTGATGCACTGAAAAGTTTTGCAAAGTCATAGTCAGGAGCTAGATAAATATCAGAACCTAAATCTTCCAACTCTTAGCCAATTATTAAGTGGTGTAAGTAGAAAATTTTCTCTCCAGCATCAGACTCAGCACTGAGAATTAATTACATGAAGTACAGAAGCCTATGTAAAAGATCCTAGGATGAGGAATACTTTTTTCCTTTAGGAATTGTGGCAACTGTGTATTACTGTTCTCAATTTTTCACTTACTCCTTCCCCATCCTATTGTATTTGGACCTGGTCTTATGACTGCTTTGGCCAATAGAATGTAAGCAGATAAAACATACACCTCTTCACCAAGATAGCTCTTGCTGAGTTCACCAATGAACACCATGTTGCCAGATTCAATAGTCACTTTCCCATCCTTACTGTCCTTGAACTCTCAAGTAGCACTAGACACAACCCATGGCTCCTTCCCCTTCTTCCCAAAACACTCTTTTCTCTTGGTTTTCACGACATTACACTTTCCTGGGTTTTCCGCCTACCTCACAAGTTTCTCTTTCTTAGCCTCCTCTACTTTCTTCCTCTCCTTGAAATGCCCTGTGAACACTGGTGTTCCTCAAGGTGGGTCCCGGGGCCCTCCTCTTCTGCCTCTCTTCACTCTTCCCCTCTTAAGTAACCTTAATCATTTCAATAGCTTTAAATTTCATTTATATGCTGCTACTTCCTAAATGATTATCTGAAGCAGGGACCTCTCTTTGGAATTCCTCACTGATACCCAAATATCTTCTTGACACATCCGTTATCGGTTAAGATGTCTCACAGTCATTTCAATTTTAACATGTCCAAAAGCAACCTTGTGATCCTCCCACCTAAACCTGCTCCATCTCCAAACTCATCCTCCAGTCAGAGTGACTTTTTATAATGTAAATAAGGTCTTGTCACTTCCCTTCTTAAAAACTGCCAATGACTTTGATGCACTTTCTCCATACCGAGTTCTACAAGGGTCCTTACCTACATTTTTTTAACCTCATCTCTTACCTTTCTCCCTCTACCATTGATCTCATTCCTTAAATATGCCAAGTTCTTTCCAGACTCAGGACCTCCTGCAAACACTACTCCTGTTGCTTGAAATGCACTTCACGTACTCTCTTCTTCCTTTTCTTCCTTTCCCTCTTTCCTCCTTACCTTTTCATCCTCTCCTTCCCCACATTTAATCAGCGTTTACTAAGCATACAGTTAAAGTCTGCTCTACAAACTGTCAGAGGAATTAATTTATCATCATTAGGTCTTTAAATTGGATATATTTCAGAGTAGTTTAATGTGTTTATTCTGAAAACCTTTGACAACATTTCTTGTTATCAAGAAATTGATAAAAAGGTAAGGTCCTAACATAACTGGAAAGGAATACAGAGATCATCTATCGTCCTCATGTTACACATGATGAAAATAAATTCAGGGAAATTAAATAACTTGTCTATTTTACAAGGCTAGAACATGAGTCTTCTGACCCTGTATTCAGCATTTTGGGCAACCCTCTTACGATTTCTATTTATTACACTTCTGCTCCCTGTAAGATAACCCCAGTCACTCATCCAAACCTAGTGATAGTTCTCATTAATTAAATGGCAATTGCATAACAATTGCTTAGGCCTTAAGTACTGACTGAAGGAAACTCAGCTTGCCTCAGCCTGGAGAGGGAAGTCTAACCTGCTAGTAAAGGAACCCCTGGTGGCGTAGTGGTTAAGATTTCAGCTGGCTGCTAACCGGAGAGATGGCAGTTCGAACCCATCGGGTGCTCTGCAGGAGAAAGATGTGGCAAACTGCTTCTGTAAAGATTACAGCCTTGGAAACTATGGGGCAGTTCTATTCTGTCCTACAGAGTCACTATGAGTTGGAATCAACTCGATGGCAATGGGTTTAATCCTGGTTTAAAAGATAAATTGCTGTTGTTGTCAACTGCTGTCGAGTTGGTTCCTAATTCATGGTGACCCCATGTACCACTGAACAAAATGCTTGCCTGGTTCTGTGGCATCCCCATGATCCACAGGGTTTGCATCAGTTAATTTTTGGAAGTAGATTGCCAGGCCTTTCTTCCTAGTATGTCTCAGTCTGGAAGCTCTGCTGCGACCTGCTCAGCATCATAGCAACATGCAAGCCTTCACTGACAGACGGGTGGTGACTGTGTATGAGGTGCATCTGACAGACCGGAACCCAGTTCTCCCGTATGGAAGGCGAGAATTCTACCACTGAACCACCAATGCCTCATCAAAAGCCCAATTATACTACGCTTATTGTAGGCAAATAGTTTTTTTTAAATCCCATAAGCTACCAATCTGTCCTGTGGGTACAAGGTGTAAGGGAGTGTGTGCACACACACACGCAATCTTTCACTGTAACACAATCTAGTCAAGAGTATAAGGCTAGTCTTATAAAGTGTTATCAAGAATAAAAGAAATAACCTTAAACTTCCTGCTTGCCATAACAGACTATATTACTGCAATGCTCTAGTGAAATCTTTATTAAAGACCTAAAAGGACAAGACCCTCCAGAGTTCAAACCAACAACACTGTTACCCATACAATAAACATATCCCTTTAGGACTGTAAAGCTGGTATTCCGAGTAGAGGCTTTCAAAGTGTTTCTAACCACAATCCACAGTAAGAACTGTATTTCATATATTGTTCATATCTATATACATACACATACCTATGTAAAACTAAGAAGTTTCATCAAATAGCATGAAATTTTAAATGTGTATTATTTACTACATACATGGAACCTCAGTGATTTTTATTCTATTCTGTTGTTTCATTTTTTTAATGCTGGTTGTAATACACAAAATTAATTTCACAGCCCACTACTGGGTACAACCTACAGTTTGGGAAACACTGTACTAGAATCACAACTTTGAATGCATGCGAACACAATGCCAAGGTTTCAAAGCACATAGCAAAACATTTGCAAACTATTTTCAGAGGCAGTTCATAGATATCTACACTTTTGCTCTCTAGATATTGTTGCCTAAATAATTTAAAGGTTGATCTTTCCTCTGAGGAATGAAAAGAAGTATTAAAATCTGCCTTCTGTTCTCAAAATTATATTGACCCCCAAGGTATGCACTGGAGATAAACAGTATCTGGAGACGTAACTGCAGCATGCAATCAGAATTTCCCCAAAAACTAAAATCACTGACAATGTCATAACTAAAGCATGGTCAAATTAGGCTACGCGGTAACTAGAAAAAACCTCTACTTCTCCCTAAAACAAGATAAAGCAGATTAAATATGATTTCAAGTATCAGCAGAAAGGCATTAACTATGAAATCAAATAACACCTGAGCTAATTTAAGAATGAGACTTCAAATTATCCCGAACAAAAAAATAGCAAATGTGCTCAAAGTTCCTTCCTGACATCCATTCTCTCTCCAGCAACATCCCCATACATTTTTTAAATTTATATCCTGTCTCCAGTCACATCCTCATAAATTTGTTTTATTTACCATCCTTCAACTTTAACTTACTTTTTTATGATGGGAAGAAAGAACAGCTGCCTCTAAAATGGGCTCCAAATCTCCTTGGTGGTTGTCATTATCAATTCTCCTTTTATCATCAAGTTGGTGTCCTTTTCTGAGCCTTATATCTGGCTCTGGAGTCCTGCTGCACCGCAACCGGTTTTCTTCTGTCTCGTTCATGGGATACCCAAGCCTTTCTTACAAAAGAGGTCTTTCTTTCTGTCCCTTCTTGGGAGCGTGTATTTTCAGAATAGTGAGTTGACCCTAAGGAGAAGAAAGCTTTGAATAAATATGTTTTAAATAAATGCATTAAATGAGTGCTGGTGGAAGACATGGGTCGTATTAACTAATAATATATTCAAACAATGGAATACTCAACAATCATTAAGTATGACAGAAGAATAATGTATTTTTAAAAAAAGGATATATTCTGATAGAACAGATCACCAAAATCTATACTGTTAAATGAAAAAAAGCAGGACATAAGGCATACATAATATGTTCCCATTTATATATTATAAAAATATGTAATCATATTTAAGTATATATGTACAAAGAATAATTATTGGATAATATTCAAAATCATGCTCTTGGTACAAAAGTACAGAAGAACTTAAGGTCTGGAGTGAGAAGACGTATTTTCCATTTTATTCTGCTTGTATTTTTTGCCATGTATCACTTTTTCAATTAAAAAAATAGTTAACTGCAGAAAGAATACATGTGGATTTTATGCATTATAACTGGGTTTTCCATATCTAATCTCATTTAAACATCAAAATGACCCTAAAGAGTATTTTATTTCTACTTCATAGGTGAGAAAACCAAAACTCAGGGAAGGTAACTAATTCAGCCAATGCCAGAACAATCTTTCCCAGTTCCTGGTTCAACTATTCCTTGGCTCCCCCAACCACTTCCACCACCACCACCACCAAAAAAAAAAGATAATTCTTTTGCGTCTCAAATATTTCTTTCATAATTCACCAATCTAAAAACTTTATTGTATATAGGTACACACGTATGTTTCACAATACTGTATGAAATAAGTAGGACAAAGTCTAAATATATGCAACACATTATTGGTAATGTTTTGCATTCAAATTGCTTAATGCTTCACATTTCAACATTTCTCAGTTGTTTTGAACTCTAACTAAATTACCCTGGAAGGCAAGAAACTCTGGCCCAGAGCATACTCCTTTTATAGTTCTCTGAGTTCCCAGAGAATGCTATGCACATAAATGTTTAATGAATATTTGATGGATGATATTTTAATGTTCTTGAGTGGTAAAAACACTTCCAGAAATCATCAATATCTCTCTAAACTGGCCTGCAGTAAGTTTCCTAGGAGTTCCAATTCTTTCAAATCTTTGGCATTCTACCTCTTACCTCATAATGCACAAGCTTATTTTAGACATTTAGTTACATATCCAAATAAAGCGAGTGCCACAGCCAATCTGACAATAAATACCAAAACAGGGAAGAGAGTAGGGTACAAGTTATGTTCATAAATCCCATGATATTCAAGGTTCTTACTGGGGGAAGGGTAGAGGAGGGCAAGAGTGGGAGAGCCTAGACACCAGAAAAAGAAGGTAAGAGGTGTATTTATCATTCATACATATTGGTACATAGACTACCACAGAATTAGCCAATCGTTGATTTCATAAATCATGCGAGTTTGCTGCAGGATTTCATAAATCATGTTGAGTTTGCTACGGGATTTGTCTAGGGGCTTTCAGAGTTTACTCAGCAAGAACAAACACGAATCTTTAAAGATCACCAAACCTGGGCATGTGCCTATCACTTAAGGGCCTAAGCAACCGTATGATACTACTGAAATCATAAATTTATACTATCAAACCAATTTTGAAAGAGAAAACAATGCTAATGATTTACATTTATTTATTTACTGCCTACAAAGCCATTTCACACTCATCGTTTTATTTTGTTTCAGAGAAGAGACAGCTAACATTTATTGAAGGTCAACAATATTTTAAATTCTATACCAATCTGCATGTGGTATTTTACATGATCTTAAAAATAGCCTTCTGATTAGTCCGAAGGACTAATGGACCACAGCTACCAAGGCCTCCACCGGACTGAGTCCAGTACAGCTAGATGGTGCCCCGCTACCATCACTGACTGTTCTGACCAGGATTCACAACAGAGGGTTCTGGATAGAGCTGGAGAAGAATGTAGAACAAAATTCTAACTCACAAAAAAAAAACCAGATTTACTGGCCTAAAGGAGACTGGAGGAATCCCGAGAGTATGGCCCCCAGACACCTTTTTAGCTCAGAGGTGAAGTCATCTCCAAGGTTCACCGTTCAGCCAGGGAGTGGACATCCCCACAAAACCAAATGGGACTAATGAGGCACAGCAGTCCAGGGACAAGGGCCAGAAAGCAGAAGAGGACGAGGAAGCTGGTGATAGGGAACCCAAGGCTGAGTAAGGATAGTGTTGATGTGTTGTGAGGTTGTTTACAATTCTCATAGGGCAACATGTATACTAACTGTTAAATGAGAAACTATTTTGTTCTGTAAGCCTTCATCTAAAGTGAGAATAGCAGAACAACTAGAAGAGTGTAGCTGATGTCAGTTAACTGTGCATGTAGAAATTTTTGAAATGGTGTATCTTTGGCTATGTATATTTTCACCAAAAAAAAAAAAAAAAGGTCGAGAAGGGAGAGGGTTGACATGTTGTGGGGTTGTCAACCAATGTCATAAAACAATATGTGTACTACTGTTTCGTGAGAAACTATCTGTTCTGTAAGCCTTCACCTGCAGAAAAAAAAAAAAATAGCCATCTGAGGTATTATCTCCTTTTCCAGATGTAGAAACTGAGGCTCAGAGATGAGGAAACTTATGCAAGGTCATCTAGCTACAAAGAGGAACAGCTGGGGTTTATACCCAGGTCTTTCTGGCCCTTATGAAGTTTATGTGCTTTCTATTACCCAACATAACCAAAACAGGAAAAAAGAAAATATAAGAACTTGAACTCTAATCACTTAGTTTACATGGTAAGTAAACTACAGAATTAGGATCTTTAAACTGTAGCAAGTAGAAACCTTTCTGAAAATTATCCTGGAAACATGACCACACCAAAGCTCTCATAAGCAGGAGCTATATATGGAGGAGCGATGCTCATTTATGAGAATATAAATGAAATGCTCTATTAGAATTGTTTTGATTCAGAAAATGAAAGCAAATGACAAGAAAGTTAAGTTCTCCCAAACAATCTTTTAAAGATTTTTCTTAAAAGAAATAAGAAAATCCATGTCCAGGAAAGTCCTGTGATCAATATACATTCCTATCAACATGTTTTCTAAATTTACTAGTACAATAAACTAACAATGAAGAAAATAAGGCACTGTGAAATCTTCAAAGAAATTTAATTACATTCACCACCCTACATGTACTAGATCAGACCAGTCTATCAATATATTTTAGAATCTCAACAATAGATTTGTTGAAGAAAAAAACATTTTTGTCAACTCTCAGGTTTTCGAAGATTTAATAAAACAGAACACTCTATGCCTGGAGCACTCCAGAGAACTGAAATTTCCTATATATTTTAGTTTATTTGCTTTCTACCTAATGATGAAATGCACTCCTATTAGGACACAATGACTTGAAACCAAAGCAAACAAGTCCAAGAGTCTAAAGTTAAAATCAGAAACAAAGCTGTCCTTTATCATCAACATTATTTAATTCTGTTCTGGAGATTTTAGACAATGAAGAGAAGAAAATGAGGAATATAAAAATAGAAAAGAAAAAGGTAAAATTATAATTATGTTCACATGATAATGATTCTTTATAAAAAACAAGAGAATCAGCTGAAAAATGATTATAAATCAGAAAATTCAGCAAGGTGATTAAGTATAAAATTAATATATGGAAATCAACAGCCTTCATCCTTCATTATGGAAGAAAAGAATACATCACAATAGTGTGTAGGGGAAAGAAAAAACACTTCAAAACAAACTTTAAAATGCTACTGAGGATCTACAAAAAAATCCAAGAATGAATAAACGAGTTTAGCAAGGTCAAAGGATACAAGATCAACACACAAAAATCAAGTGTATTTCTATATACTAACAATGAGCATGTGAAAATGAATTAAAAACACAATAGCATTTATAATTGCTCCAAAGAAAATGAAATACTTAGGTACATACTTAACAGAACATGTATAGGATCTGTATACTAAAAACTACAAAAAGCTGATTAAAAGATATCAAAGATCTAAATAAATAGCAACATATCATGTTCATACACTGGAAGACTCAACATAGTAAAGATGTCAATTCTCCCCAAATCGATCTAGATTTAATGCAATTCCTATCAAGATGTCAGCAAGTATTTTTATAGACATACACAAGCTTGTTCTAAACTTTACATGGAAAGGCACAGGCCCTAGAATAGCTAAAATAATCTCGAAAAAGAATCAAGTTGGAAGAATCCCTCTACCTAATATGAAGGCCTACTATGTAATGACAGTAGTCAAGACAGTAGGTATTATCAGAGGAAGACACATATAAATTGATGGAATGGAATACATAACCCTGAAATAGACCTAGACAAATAAGTCCAACTGATTTTTTTTAACAAAGGTGCAAAAGCAATTAATGGAGGAAGAATAGCCTTTTAAACAAATGGTGCTGGAACAACTGAAAATCCATAGGCAAAAAAATTGAACCCTAACCTAAACTTCATATCTTATACAAACATTAACTCAAAATGGATCATAGACTTAAATGTGAAAGGTAAAACTATAAAACTTTTATTTTAAAGAAAAGGAGAAAATCTTCAGGATCTAGAGCCAGGCAACAAGTTCACAGACTAGACACAAAAAGCACACTCCGTAACAGGAAAAAACTGATCACCTGAACGTCATCAAAATTAAACACTGCTGCTCTGCAAAAGATCCTGTTAAATTTTGATCAAGGATCCAATACATGGATCCTGACCAAAAGGAAGACAAATGTGGAACTGAACACCAAATTCCTATGATAACCAGACTTTCTCGATCCACTGAGAGTGGGAGAATCCCAGAATCTACTGTCCTGAAATAATCTTTAAACCTTGAACTCAAACTATCCTATGATATCATCTGTACACAAAACAACACTTTAGCTTAATAAAGAATGTCAGACTTGAACAGTTTGTTCTATTAAAGAATTACCTATAAGCAATTAAATTCACAACAGTAGTGCCTGCTCTCACCACTTCTATTCAGTATTTCAATAGAAGTACTAGCAAAAGCAACAAGA